CACTGCCCCCGAGACAGGAGGAAGGGCAGGACAGGCTCTGCTGTTATACACTAGAGCAAAGTAATTAATCTGAGACAAGGGGGTGAGGAGTGGCTCTGAGGGCTAAGTCTCTGTGCCCATGATCGGAAGGTTGCTGGTTTGAGCCCCAACCTCAGCAAATCAGTCACGTGCCCATGGCCCGTGAGTAAGGCTCTTAACCCCCATCTCCAGAGGTGCCACACACTGTCTGAGCCTGTGCTGTGAGAGCAGGATGGTGTTAGCAGAAAGAAGAATTCCAAATGTACCTATACTGATGCAAATCATTTACCATTTTGTCACTGTAGTAAAAATATGACGCATCTACAGTGTAATACAACTAAAACCAAATCACTGTTTGAATTCTAACAATAACATACAATGTGAAATAGACTAAATCCTGAAACAAATTCACCTATATAAGGGTTTCTTTCCACAATTATTTCCTTAATCTGAAAGTGCAGCAACTCGCAGAAGGGCTGTAAAAGATCAGTAGCGCTCCGATGTGCCTTTGAAGCTTGCTGCTCGCTTGCTACAGACACCCTGCCTTTGAAACATGCCTTCAAGTGTCAACTCTCGGCCCTTTCCATACGCTCTAATTAGGGCCCTCTATAATTAGGCCTGGAAGTGCTTCTAGAGGGTCTCTGTCATATGAATGGATGTGCAGACACAGTATAGCAGACGACCTTCATCCCCACCACAGATTCATTCTGCAGCCTCATCCATTTATGCGGGGGACTCATCTGCATAGTTTCCAATTTCACAGTTAAACGAAAATAATACTTCATTTCACAGTAAAGGTGTTGTTCATATACCCGGGGCTCCTCTGACGGCTTCCGCGGGGTCTTTACACATGAAACTCAAACCATCTCCAGCCATTAGAAATGCTTATCAGCTATTTCAGCTGCCCCCGTCCTCAGAGTGTCCCGACCCCCCCGGACCCTCGTCTTCTAATAGGTGAGTCTGCTCATATATTGGTTCTCCGCTTTGTCACTGTCTTTGGTTCCCCTGTTAAAATTCTTTCTCTGTTATCACACTGTTCTCCTTATCAAATCACATATTTGATTTTCTAATCAAAGTCTGCCTTTTCATTAACTGAAATCCGATATTGCTTGTTATTCTGCTCTTATATTAATGAAACTGCACTCTGCAGAGGGAAACAAAGAAGTACTTCCTGACAACGGACTTATGCTCCAAATTCTCCCTCATCTTTTCTTACCCTCTTCTTCCACTTCTCCTCCTCTGGTTTTGGGGCCCACACACTGTAATTTGTGGTCTTTTTCAGAAGAGAATTCTGTGGTGGTTACAGTTTTGAATACCCCAGCCCGTCACCCTGCCTCCCTCAAATTGGAACAATATGCCAGCAATGGTGCAGCACTTGCTGTATGAGTGTCAGCTGAAATGTCCCCAGTGCAGAGGTGCGAGTCACACACAGACAGGATCTGACTTTATAAATACATACATTAGGCATCTTCATCGATTCATGTGCTGCATTAATTGCATTTGTTCTCTCGTTGTGACTAGATCTCCCCCTGCTGGTGGACTTCGGAGCCTCATCTTCTAATAGGTGAGTCTAGCATCAGGAACAGGACAGGGAGCTTTGACTGGTAGGTCAGTTCCACGTCAGCATACAATTGGCCCTTTTATCGGCACTTCGACTAAACACTCGTCAGCTTCCTCGCAGCTTCCAGGTGAGAAGTTGCGTTTCCCATTTAACAGTGCAAACCGCAGGGTGGCCACCAGTTCCAGTGTCAGAGAGGTGACGCCAGTTCCAGTGCCAGAAAGGTGACTCCAGTGCCAGAGAGGTGACGCCAGTTCCAGTGTCAGAGAGCTGATGCCAGTTCCAGTGCCAGAGAGGTGACGTCAGTTCCAGTGTCAGAGAGCTGATTCCAGTTCCAGTGCCAGAGAAGTGACTCCAGTGCCAGAGAGGTGACGCCAGTTCCAGTGTCAGAGAGCTGATGCCAGTTCCAGTGCCAGAGAGGTGACTCCAGTGCCAGAGAGGTGACGTTCAGGGGGTTGACCTGCCTGGCTACATAATAGCACAATCTGAAATGGTACGTTTCTCAATCTTTTACAGAAGCATTCTTCTTTTTCAAGTGTAATATCCAGGTCTATCTGTGTCACGTAAAAAATAAATTTAAATTGCACTCTTCGCCCCGCAGACTAGCAGCAGCCACTGACTTTAATAATGACAGAGGAAATGTAGCCTAATGCTGCAAAAAAAAGTTAATCTCCTGAAGGCAGAGGGATTTATTTTTAGAACTGTCTGGTAAGTACAATACTTGTCTAATTTTGGCCAATAAAACATCTTGCAAAAATTTTATGAGGCTAAGTGATGAATCGGAGATGAGGGCGGAGCCTGGGCGCCTGTCATGCACTGTGGGCAGGTCACCCGTGTGTGTTGTGACCTCGCAAAAACCACGTTTCAGTCCCTGCATACTGTCAAAGGACAGCTACAGCTCATCGAGGCCCGAGCCCCGTGTGGAGAAAAGCCGCGGTGAAGCGGACGCGGCGTGGGGAGGGGAGGGGAACATTACGTGTGGTGTTAATAAGAGCTGTGCTTTAGGTGGCTTTGTGATGCCGGAAGCTTGAATCCCCGTACAGTTACTGTGGTGACTGTATCTTCTATCCACATTTGAAGCGGACAGATATTGTTGTACCGACTGGCCCTTTTTCGCATATTTTATTGAGATGTAATAATGGACATAAACATGCTGTGGATTCCACGCGCGCATCTTTTAAATGGAATGCTTTCTCACGTAAGCGAGTTTACAGACACATCAGCAGCTTCCACGTGCCCCCGTCACTCTCAGGCTATGCCCACTATTCAGCACCGAAACCTGGGCTTGATCCTGACCATGCCCCCCTTCTCTCCACCCCAAATTACCGTTCCTGGAGCTGTCGCCGTCTGCGTTGTTTGCACACGGCTGCTGGGTTTGTGGACGCTGGCATTTTGACTGGGAGGATGCAGTGAGACTTGGGCCGTCCTGCGAGGTGGGTGGAAGGACCGTGGCCATCTCCCAGCTGCTGCTCCCTTTCACGGGGCCCCTGAAGGGAGCAGGGCTGTTGTTTGGCTGTCCAGTGCTCCTCTCTCTACGCTGGTATCTGAGCGGTGTCTCAGTCCCGCTGGTATCTGCTTCGCCACCTGGAGAGGAGATCCGCCAGTCCACCGTGGAGGATCCAGCTCCGAATATACTGCTCCACTGCGTGGGCTTGTGTGTCAGCCTGTGGTGTGTGAGTCACTGCTTATGGTGGATATGGGTGTTTTGGTTAAAATGTTTTGGTATGTATATATATATACACACACACTGATGCCTTTACTTAAATGTCTAGGATTATTATACATGGAAACAACTAATATTCATTGAAAACAAAGTTTTGCTCTGGTTCTAGGTAGTATGATCAATTGTAAAATGGCAGGTGCGTAGGTAATTACAGCTCACGGAAGCAGGCACTGCAAACTGATGATACATACACCAGTGAATACCGTAGATACACGACGTAACTATTTAAGCGAATAGGCTACATTCTAAACAGATTAATCTCACGTAACTTCTCTGTTATTCAGAAGTAAAATAACTCATTTTTCGTCGGGTATTTGATTGCGAATAGCCTGGAAGCTCCTCCCATGTCAATGCCAGCTGGGCGGGATTAGACAGCGTGTGCCTTTGCTACCTGCCGAAAGTAGTTAGTGAAAAGCCCCCAAGAGCCGCTCAGATCGGGGGTCGCGATGGGCACGTTGTAGGGTCTTTATTATTCTTACCTAAGGCAGCCGAGGACCCGTCGGACCTGGAAATGGTGAGAATGTGTACTTTAACGATAGGCGTTTTGCACTTTTTCACCACTTAATTGTCTGCTGTACTAAACGGACTCGCCTTATCCTATCTAGCGAAAGCCTAACTTGTGAATTTGTATGCCTTCTTCTTCTTAGTGAATCGAGAAATTCAGTGTGCTGGATGGGGCAGCTTCAGCATGAAGACGTCCGTGGAGCGCTTCTCGGGACTTCGTTACTTGGATGACATGTCCTTTGGCTTGAAGAGAGTCGCATCTTGAACTCTGTCCCGAGGTTTAACACCATCAACCTTTAAAGCTCTTCGGACCGAATCGTTTTCAGCAACATTATAGCTTATTATATAAATCCTAAACAGACGGACAGTACTTCCGCGCCACCAATTTAATTAAAACTGGATTTATATGATTTACATAATGATGATATGTCGCTATTTTGCTTTTTGGGGATTGTGGTGGACTTCGTGTAGCATATTTCCCATACCAGGTAGCAGCTATTTATTTAACGGCAATAACGAAATCGGCTCCAACTTTATAAAGCGGAGGCTGCGGACGCAGGAGCGAAGGGAGATGCAGAAGGAGATCCTGTCCATCCTGGGACTGCCGCACCGGCCGAGAGCGCATCCGTCACAGGACAAGTACAACTCGGCCCCGCGTTTCATGCTGGACTTGTACAACAGCATTTCAAAGGGGCAGAAAAATGAAGGTGATGGTGCCGCGGATCTGCACGCGCCCACGCCGACATCCCCGGGACCCTCGCTGGCCTCTTTCCAGGACAGCGCCTATTTAAATGACGCCGATATGGTGATGAGTTTTGTCAATTTGGGTAAGAGCTTTTACTTATGACTCGGTTTTTATACTAAAAGTTACTGTTGAATGTTGATTCAGGGATCGACACGAAATGTCTTTTAATTATTTTACTTCAGGCTCCGGCAAAATGCAGTTTTGTTTGAGTGATGTTATATGGGAAAGTGGGCGATCATTACCGTCCAGACCCTGTAAGCACAGTTATAGTTCACCGGTGTTGGTAGGACATGAGTGATAATGTAATTTCTTCCTATAACGGTATTCTGACCTTACTGAACAGTAAGCAGGCTCAGGTATGGGCCGAATGGCCTCCTCTCGTTTGTAAATTTCTTATGTTCTTATGTTCTTATGTTCTAAACAGTCACTAAAGCTGACAGTTCTTTGTTATCGTGTATCGGCTACAGAGGATTTGCATAATTAGCCAGGCTGCCTTTTTCATTCATTCCCTTTATCCCGCTAACTTCCTCTGGACGTGGACTCAGCGGCGCCTTACAACTTTCTTCAACCCCGATCTCTTGTTGCAAATGAAAAGACAAGCTTTAAATATACAGTCTCTTAACACTGCATGCACAAAGAGAAATCTGCTTACCAACTTACACGGCGTTTCATAAACTGTTTGTTTTTATTCTTAATCGAAAGGGGAGATACACATGAAAAATAAACTAACCATTTGTGCGAGGCTTCATTTGGGCAAAATTCAACAGCATTGTGATTTCCTTACATCGGGCTTTGTTTTTGTGTTATTTTGACTCAATTCCTCAATTAGACTACAAACAAATATGGGAGTCCTTTAATCACAAGAGGTCAGACATGAAAGCACACGGCCATCCCATCCTGCAGCGCCAGTGTTTACTGGAGAAATCTGAACAGGCTGTCTCGAGATAAACAGCGCTGATGGCGCGCGGGTCCGGGTTCGTCAGCTCCGCTGACTGTTCTCTAGCTGCTCTTACGCTATCCAATGAAATAACACAAAAATGCAACTCCAGCCACCCCACAGCTATGAAGACGATATTGTAACCCTGTGCACCAATTAAAATCTAATAATTAATTTACCACTGTTAAAAATTCTCTTGGAGATATTGTGTCCTGCAAAAAAACAGTAGTGTTGCCCATAGTTCACAAATGTACATACCTGTAATTTCTTCTTCTGTTGTACATCTGTGTCTCTTTTGAACGAAACGATATGTTATCCCCCCCGTTCTCAGATGTAGGATATTTATGGATCACATTGGATTCTCACTGATAGGACACAGATTTCCATGAATGCGATCAAAATTAACATCACAAACTGAATGTCTGCATGTCGGTGTAGCAAAACATTAGCATCCCATAGTAACAAGTCCCCTCCTTTGCTCAGTGTATAGATGGGCGGCCTCTATATCTCTTCTCCCCTCTGCTCTGTATCCCTTTAAACCTGGAGCACTGGCTCAGGAAGATGAATCTGGAATGGCTATTCCTTCAGCCAAGGACAGATTGGCGCACAAGTGGACATGTTTACCCAGGATCTGTCCAGATTCTCAGAAACTTAATGATACGGAGCTGAGGCCCTGCTCCAAGCAGCTGAGATCCTCCTCCCAGCCGCCGAGGTCCTGCTCCAAGCAGCTGAGATCCTCCTCCAAGCAGCTGAGATCCTCCTCCCGGCCGGCGAGGCCCCGCTCCCGGCCGCCGAGGCCCCGCTCCCTGCCGCCGGGGCCCCGCTCCCTGCCGCCGTGGCCCCGCTCCCTGCCGCCGGGGCCCCGCTCCCTGCCGCCGTGGCCCCGCTCCCGGCCGCCGAGACCCCGCTCCCTGCCGCCGGGGCCCCGCTCCCGGCCGCTCCCTGCTAAATCCCATTTGCAGAGCGCTCGGGGAAGCAGGCTCAGGTATGCGGCCACGGATTCCTGTGGCTGCACGGGAAGCCAGCGCGCACCACAGTCACAGGTGTTCCTGGTCACGTCCATCTCCATAAGAGAGGCGTGTGTTTATGAATACCGCCGAGACGTCAGCCCAGATAAAATGCGTCATACATCAACTCAAACCACCCCGTTCTTTCCAAAAGTAGATTTCAGCTCTTTGTATGTAAGAAGCATTTGTTTGTGGCTGGCACAGTGGGCTGGGCACTGACCGCTCGCCTCATCGAGCCACATAGTCAAATTTGCTTACCATCTGACGTACTCTGCTAGGACCGCAGATGTCTCCAAAATCCGAAATACGTTTAAATGTGCAAAACTCGCGATTGGACCCTGTGCCTAAGAATAGGCTCAGCCCAGTGTGGCTGGGTGACCATTTTAGCACCGTTGCAGGTGGTGCCTTGCAGTGAACATGCTGGCATGGTGACTGAGGGTGAGGAACCCTGTGGAAGGTGAGGCCACTCATGTACACGGGAGAAAACCACGGATTCCTTCGCCTTATATCACTGACACGCGGCAACAGCCTGCTTCAAAGTGTATGAAAGGGGAGGCGCTGCTTATGGATAATTGTATTATAGTTTTGTTTTGCTTTTTTCATTCTTACATTAACTTCTGAAGTCCTTGGCTCAGTATGCCCGTTAAGGCCTGGCTCTGTTATTCTTAGTTTGTCCCTGAAGATGCATCTTGGCCTGTGCGTACCACCCTAGATGGGAACTCTCTGTCCAGAGCAGTGGTGTTCCAGTGTTTTATAAAGAAAAACAGCAGGACGCAGATTATTGTGCACGGCAGCCAGTCCCGTGTGCGGCTCTCGTATCCCTCCACGTTTTGGCCCGCTAACGCCGGCGAGCAGCCAATATCCCTCCACGTTTTGGCCAGCTAACGCCGGCGAGCAGCCAATCAGGGGGATGCCTCCGTAGAGCGTCTATATTAATTCAAAATAACGATAATTGATGATGACGCATACATGTGTCTTTATGTTATGGACAGAATTGTGAGTGCAAATGGTGTCACTTTTTTGTGTTTATTAGAGAATTACACTGTTTTCTACACCGTGGTTTACATAAGTCCCAAGGAAAGAGCGAGGTGCAGCGATGCAGGTGCAGATGTGATGTCAGGCCCCGTGGGTGTCCACCTCCCTGTTAATGTCACACCTCATTTCATTATAATTACCAGTGAGATCAGAGGAGCACATATGTATGTCTGTGTGTGTGTGTGTGTGTGTGTGTGTGTGTGTGTGGTCCAGGTATACCTTACATTGTGGGGACAATAGGTTGTTATAGTTCAGGTTAGTGTTTTGCCCATAGAAATGAATGGACGGTCCCCACAGGGCTGTGTGTGTGTGTGTGGTCTATCTGTGTTTATCTGAAAGCAGTGAGCAAGTTCAAAATGTAGGAGAAGCATGTTTGGCGTTCTGACGCTCTAGTGTCGCTGACCAGGCAGCTAAAGTGGGAGATGACATGCAACGTGGAGACACGCATCCATCCCTCTGAGTAAAGCTTAGCGTCGAGTCCTGGCAGAGCAGATGGGTCAGGATAAGCAGGCGAGGTACAGGATTCCATGTGTGTGGAGTTTGCATGTTCTCTCCATGTGGTCCTGGGGTTTCCTCTGGGTACTCCGGTGTGCCCCCCCACACGCCAGAGGCAAAATGTGATGTCACTGCAGTCACATGACTATACTGGAGCCTTCGTGCGCTGGAGGCAGTGTGAGATGGCAGTGTGAGATGGTCAGTTGCAGCTGGCGGAAATGGCACACTGTTTTGGAGACTGTCGAAGTGCTTATTGTGGAACTACCGCCTTGCAGTGCAACAGGCGGTGTTAGGCATTTGCAGTGTTAGCCATTCGCAGTGTTGAGTGTTGAGCCACTGCAGTTGCTAGTGAGGACAGTTCCTGCTATAGAGGGGCACACTGAGTACCGATGCATGCTTCTCAGTCAGCCATGGAGATATGCTGGTTACCATACATGCTTAACCGTCCACGTTCATCATGAATCTCTCCATGTTACAAATTCCACCCCCCCCCCATGTTAGCAAAGCTTTCCCATTGTCCGCTCGGTGCTCATGGTTTAATACTTTTACGTAACACCAGAAGGACATAGGATATGTTTTCATGGAAAATAGTCAAGTGGACCTTATAATTAATATAACTTACTTTCTCTGAAAATATGCACAGTATTTTTACCCCTAAGAAAGCTTTACAGTAAATGCATTTTTGTTTCATTTTGATAGCTTTTATTGCTACAGTAGCTCATTAGCCATCCATTACTAGTCACACAATGCAGGGCTTGGCCTTGGCTTCTCCCCCAGCAGCACCAGCTTCACGTACGTTCAGTTGGGCTCCAGCTCGGTGGCCTCCTGAAGACCTCAGCTGCCCTCCATGGACCGTCATCCTTGGAGGAGCCGCCTCCGAGCGGCGCATGTCCCCGCTGGATGTTTGTTCAGGGAGAGGTTCCTAAATGCTTTGGATGGCAGCTGCTGATGCATAGGGGAACCCCAGCAGACAGCCCCCCCACCCGTTATCAGGCGCCCTTCCTGCCGACTTCGGGAATGTGTCACCCTTCAGGAGGAAAACAGACCTCATTTATCTTTACAGCCTTTGTCCTGCAAGACAAGCCTTATCTTAGGAAATGTTTTCGACTAGGGTAGATATTTGCAGAAGTCAAATCCTTTTTATTCATCCAACACTTGCCTGTGCAGGAAAATCAAGCTTGACTCACCAGCCACTGCATTACCACATGGAGACAGCATGTATTTTTCATGAGCTGAGATACCACTGGACTCCATGCTGAGAGCAGTGAAGGTCCACCTGGATGTGCAGTTATGTCTCGCTTGCTTTGCTCGCGTGTGATGATGGTCCTGCTGGCTGACAGTTTTCTGTAGGCAGCAATCCCCGTCTGCAGGCAGCAGTCCCCGTCTTCAGGCAGCAGTCCCCGTCTGCAGGCAGCAGTCCCCGTCTTCAGGCAGCAGTCCCCGTCTGCAGGCAGCAGTCCCCGTCTTCAGGCAACAGTCCCCATTTTCAGGCAGCAGTCCCCGTCTTCAGGCAACAGTCCCCGTTTTTGTCCCTCAGGTGTGTCTGACAGGCGCCTCTCCACATTGGACCCCGTTTTGGCTCTAGCTTGCATGCTGCCGATATTTTAC